GATTGATATCATGAACATCGATCCACGCAATTGGAATCGATGACATGCATCAACCAAGTCAGCGAGCCTGACCACCCTATCGCCTTTTACGACAAGCATAGTCACTTTTACGGCAAGCATGGGTTGCTGAAGATCTATTCTACCCCGGAATCTTCACGGGTCTGCCTTTTGGAAGATAGTCCACCATAATGACACCCTCGGCCTGCCAGAACACGGATGCCATGACCTTTCCAGCTTTGCATTCTTTGGTGGTGGTCATCCCAAATACTTCCTTGGATTTCCTTGTTGTTTGGACTCATTCATTTAGTCACAAATCGTTGCAAGAACATTTATTGATCAGCTTCAAACAGCTAGATTATCACGTGACATGTTGTACCGGGTTCGTTTTCTATTAAATGTCAGTAGCTTTAGAACCAAACGAGCTGATACTTTCTTCATTGCCAAAGTTTCTGTGATAATGGAATGTACTGACTCTCTCCTGGGAAATGTCCACTCAACTAGCAACAGGACACTCAGTCATTCGCCAGCCGGTCATCTCCATATCGTGGATTCTCTGGATCATTTCTGGCTTTGCCGATGGCACAGGCCTTCCAGGACGGGGTCGTCTTCAAGGTGTTCCCTGCCACTCTTAAACTCTGCTTCCACCTCTTTACGACGACATAGGAAGGGCCATACTTCCACAGTGCTCATGTCTTCATGGATGGCTTTTGGCAAGTACTCGATCACTGCACTCGATCACATTCCCCAATACTGGTGTGGCTATTCAGTCTCTACCTCTTCTTTAATGACGGACCTTTAATACAGTACATACACAATGTCATCTACCTCATCGATCTGGAACACCCGAACCATCCGTATCTCCAATCAGTATTCCAGTTATACCACGGCGTGTCAGACTGATTCGGGAGGAAAGCCCGAAGTAACGTTTGCCACTTCGGTGAAACCCACGAACACGGGTATGGTGCTGACAAACCTAGAAACATAATCGGGGTGAACCGACGGATTCAAAAGACGGACAACGATACGGTTATGTTTTCAAAAGATAACCCGGTCACTCAGATCCTAGAGGAATTAAATATATAAACCCACATACATTTGACATCCCGTCATGTTACTGAAGTATTGTTCAGTGCGGCCTTGTACCAAACTTACTCATGCACTCTGGTGGCTTTAGTTTTTATTGGTATAATTACGAATAATGGTCAAATTGTCTTTGTTTAATAATTATTTCTTGCTTGTCAAATTAGGTCAATTGATTGTTTACATAGTTGTGTGTTTGTACTGTTTTTGTATGTTTCAGAGAGTCATTTTTCTCATTATTTCAACTATATAACAACCTGTCAACTATGTACAATCTAGTTTGTTTGAGAACTAGCCTGACCACCCGATTTTGGTAGTTTCAACTATATAACAACCTGTTAACTATATAACCTGTCAATTACATAACAACGTATCAGCTATATAACAACCTGTCAACTTATATAACAGCGTGTTAACTATATAACAACCTGTCAATTATATAACAGCGTGTCAACTATATAACAACGTGTCACGTGTCAGCTATATAACAACCTGTCAACTATTTAACATCCCGTCAACTATATAACAGCGTTACAACTATATAACAACCTGTTAACTATATAACCTGTCAATTATATCACAACGTGTGAACTATACAACCTGTCAATTATATAACAGCGTGTCAACTATATAACGTGTCACCTTTATAACAGTGTGTCAACTAAATATTAACCTGTCAACATTATAACAGTGTGTGAACATTATAACAGCGTGTCAACTATATAACATCCTGTCAACTATTTAACATCCCGTCAACTATATAACAGCGTGTCAACTATATAACGTGTCACCTTTATAACAACCTGTCAACATTATAACAGTGTGTCAACAGTATAACAGCGTGTCAACTATATAACAGTGTGTCATCATAATAACCGCGTGTCTTCTTTTTAACACCCTGTCGTGTCAACGTACATGGGGAGGGGATGGCAGTACTAGGTGATCGGGGTGTAGGTGTATTTTCACTTTGACCCGTTCAGATTCCCTGTTAGAATAAGGTAGTGTGCAATGGGATTTTGACGTTGCAGTCAAGATTATGGACTAATGCCGGCTGTGTAGTGCTAGCCCACCCATACACTGTATATCGACTCCGAGCAACAAATATTCTTACGTCTTTGGGTATGACGTGACAAGGGGGTCGTTCCACCGACCTTCCGCTCCTCGAGCAGACGCTATCCGCTACACCCTGGAGGCGGCCCCTCTCCGGAGTGCCCCATTACCAATGTCCTAAGAGGAGACTTAATGTGTCGAGTGGTCAGGCATGGTGACTCGGTGTGGATTGCGTGTCGATGATGATGATGATGATGATGATGATGATGATGATGATGATGAATGTATTGTATTGCGTGTCATTGTGACCCGACTGAGTAATATCAACCACTTGTTGGTCTGGTCCACACTCCAGTATTTACACGCTGCCATGTGACATACCACAGGGTAATGCAAGGGGCACAACTGTGCGTCGGGCAGCAATGATGACGCCAGTGTATACCGTTAATATAATAGTGTCAGCTGTCAAAATTAAGGCGAGATTGAGCTCGGTCGATCTCAGCACCGACGCCGCTCACAGAACGCACATGACACTTGTTACCATGGCGATGTGGAAAATAAATGAATTTCACCTTCTTACAACTTACACATTATACTCAGATTTCAGATAGGCCATGTGGAAACAAGACAACACATTCCATACTTCTTACATAAATGTATTTCCAAGTGATCATATTCTCATTTTTTCCTGTAGTGTAAAGTATTTTATCAAGATCACTTTGACCAATCAGATCTCATCATTCTGACATGGAGATATGATAACGGTATTTGTTAGTACCTGGCTGCTGATGTGACAGCAATGTAGCAGCGTAGACGGCCCACGGGGATATAATATCACATAAACAACTGGGATAATGTCTACTGTGCCTTTGTATTTGTTTGTTTGATGTTTATAACTCTGCACACAGCACAAATAAAGCTATATAACGGCGGTCCGTAAACAATCGAGTCAGGACCAGACAATCCAGTGATTGACATCATGAGCATCGATTTACGTAATTGGGATACGATGACATGCATCGTCAGCGAGCCGGACCACCTAATTTTGTTAGTTGCCTCTTTCGACAAGCACGGGTTGTTGAAGACCCATTCTAGCCCGGATCTTCACGGATCCCTGTATTTGTATTAAATTGAGTTTAAATACGACACGGATGCTGGAGTAAATTTGATATTTTTTACACTTTATGAAAACATGTATGTACTATGAAAACACAATGTCATTTAGAAACGGTCAAATGTAACAAATGATATATTTGGGTTGGTTCGTTGTTTAACGCCGCTCTCACCAATGTTCCAGCTATATGACGACGGTCTGTAAATAATTGAGTCTGGACCAGACAATCCAGTGATTAATATCATGAGCATCGATCCACGCAATTGGGATCGATGACATGCATCAACCAAGTCAGCGAGCCTGACCACCCGATCCCGTTAGTCGCCTCTTACGACAAGCACAGTCGCCTTTTACGTCAAGCATGGGTTGCTGAAGACCTATTCTACCCCGGATCTTCACGGGTGTTATATTTTGGAAACTTTGGATTTACATGTATGTACTACTACATTTCAACATGTAGCAAGAACGCATCCGTGTATCACAGACCATCAGGTCGCTTATTGCACGTTTATTACGTTAAGTGAGTGAGTATGGTTTTACGCCGCTTTAAGCAATATTCCAGCAATATCACGGCGGGGGACACCAGAAATAGGCTTCACACATTGTATCCATGTCGGGAATCGAATCCGGGTCTTCAGTGTGACGAGCGAATGCTTTAACCACTAGGCTACCCGACCGCCTCTTATTACTTTAAGAATTATTTTTTTGTAATGCAATAACACATGAACAAAATTTTGTTTTGACCGCTACTGTGTGAATCTTTTTGAACCAAGGCATAATGAGCGATGGTGAACATGCGAATACGATATGTGATATGTGTTGAGGAGAAACCTATCTCAAATGATAGTTTGACAAGTATGTAGTTATGCTGGTCCTGCTGGGCGATTTAATGATGGCCAGGCTCGGCGATACGTGTCATCGTACCCTGACATCTTCCCGATTCGAGAGAGTTAACTGACACAAAATGTCCAGTTTCCACCCTTGCCGAACTAGGCTGGAATAACTGGGCTCGATCGTATCGCCTCCAGTGGCTGTTGCTAGTTATGTCCCTTCTATGCCTCTCCTATGGACCAATCAGATTCCACCTCTCGTATCACTTGCATTTGTTTCAAACAAAACGGCGGCGCCCAGTCAAGACGATCTGATCGATAATCAAGATCTATATATCGTGATAAAACGAGTCTTTGAGTGCATCAAATCACGTAAGCACCTTGATTAAAAAAATGAAAAGATTTAGAAAATATCTGTTGACAACGAGTTGGCGGTGTACATGCTTTGCAAATCATCCAATCGACCTAAATCTGCATGACAGTTTACAAACCGGATTTCGATTTCGGGGCGCGATTTTGATTGGACTATGCATGGACTCGTTAGTCCAGCCAAAATGTAACTCCATAATACCAGCCTAGTTCGGCAAGGGTGGAAACTGGACTTTTATAGTCAGTTAACTCTCTTGCCACGGGAAGATGTACCCTGACGGCGTGGATCGGTGTTCATATCAATCAGTGGATTGTTCGGTCCAGACTGGATTTTTGACAGATCGCCGTCATATTGCTGGAATGCTGCGTCAAACATCAAACACACCAAATATGGTGTATCATAGCATAACACAGTCGTCACTGCTTCCAATCACAAGAATCCTATGTTTGGCACCCTTGTTACAGTCACGTTTCAGTCGACTGGCGTCTTGAATTACATGGCGCCTGAATAGGTTCAGAAGTTAAAGGCAAAACGGACTATACAACAAACACGTACATATTATTGTATTGTTTATTTTCTTTGTTGATAAACAATAACACAATCATCGCAAACAATGGAAAACAATGGTTCATAAATAATGCATAAACATGACGAGACATGAAAATAATAATAATAATAATATTCATTACCGCAAAATAATGAAGTAACACCTGTTTTAAACATAAACTGATGGGATGCGAGGCATATTGTTTGAAATATACCTGTAATAAAATCTCACAAAGGTTGCCCAGACCATTGAAATATATTGTGAAGACAAGACCGTATCAAATACTAGGAGCATACACATTTCAAATATTACGTAAACATATACTAAACAGAAAACTATCTTTACAAAAAGTATTTATTAAATATTCGTTTTGTGGAAAAAAAACATTAACGAAGTATTATATGTTACAGAGATTTGGGAAATAAAAATGATTAAAGCCAAGAAAAAAATTATACTGACGGTATGACGTCACGTCTTACGATATTATGACGTCAGAATGGTGGACATGATTTTATCATCATTGAAATAAAACCATGATGATCAACCCAATGACCTTCGTGGTGACACCCCGATTCTCCACAAGAGCATATATTTCATACAGTCGCAGCTGTTATATAATACGCCTAGAAGACATATATGTCACTGAAACACAGTCGAAACGCAATACAATATGCTCGCCGTCGTACATTAGAGGGCGTTTGGTTTGTTTGTTTGTTTGTTTGTTTGCGCCTCGTACGATAAACCTAGGCTACTAGGGCCTAATCCTAACCAAGAAGCCCCCCAAGGAAAGAGAGAGCGAATACTTATTATCTTATCTGGAACCAAAGCAGCCAGTAGTATTTTATCAAGATCACATGGACCAATCAGATCTTATCATTACGAAAAATACAAAAAAAAAAATAATTTGTCAATTTCAATAGGCAAAATAAGACTTCCCTTCAAAATCTTAAACACACAGCTGTTCAAAAAAATATTTCTAATAATGAGGTATTTATCAATAAAATATTAGGGCAAGTTTATTTGTCCCAAAGGAAAGATGTAAATTTGGTTTGGCCTTAAACGATGTGTAGATATGTGGACATTTGCTGTGAAAAGTAGATATGTGGACATTTGCTGTGTTTTCACTGTGTTTCAGTAAAAAAACGTATCTACCCAAATACAACACTGTAAGCTGTTTAATGTATTTTATACATTGAGAAGATAATTTTGAAATTCTTTTTAAGAATAACATCATAATACAATGTAGTGTAACATAATTAGTCAAACTTTGTGTAAATCCAATGAACACATTATTAATTTCATCTTTGTATATATGCACCAATTGATGTTCATGATGAAATTATATTGATTATTCACAACTCGTGCCATTCCGTGACAATCCGATTGGTCACGCAAAGACACGAATGATGGCGAATGATGATTTGACAAGATGGAAACAAATGGACGAGTCTCATCCGGGATATGCTTACTATGCTAGGACTAGACGAAATGATGCCCAGTTCTACGAACTGGCATGAAAGCTGGTTGGAATTCAGTGACTAAAACACATGCATATTCACTCATAAATAATATCACAACACACGTATTCACTTCATGAGAGTGTCCCCACATCCATTCACACATGGTCGTCGGATGCACAGTCGAGCAATCGCAACGACGACTTAGTACCAAGTCTACACGTAAGGTCACAAGAGTTGCGTCCCTTCCCACACAGCGTAAAACACGCTAGACGTACACATCTTTAAGTCCAAACCCGGAAAATGTTATCATTTCGTCCGGCGGATCATCATGGTCTATCGTGTAGCTACCGGAAGTCGTGGTAGTATTGTCATCATCAACACTGTCGTTTAAATTTTCCAACGAATAACCGGTAATTCCTTTCTTGAAGGTCAGATTAGTGTCGGAATTCCTCGACCTTGGACGTGGTTGCGGTGCGAATGTTCCAAGATAGCGAGGTACGTGTGTTTGGAAATCACCCTGGGTATCGTGATCGAAGTGCACTGAATAGGGCTTCTTCCTGGAACTACTGTTTCTCAAGGTCACGGGGTCTATAGGTCTCTGTCTGTAGTCACTCTTTAACGCCGGTGGCAACATGGAAACATCGCCTTGTCGGACCAAGGGAATACTATTTCGTTGTCTATTTTGTGGAATAATACTTGTTTTCTTTTGATCTCGAATGCAGTCGAATCTCACAATAGGGAAGCCAGAGTCATCTGTAAAAAAAAGATCACAGGTTAGTAAAAATATATAAGTTGGTGTCCTGAGTATATACAAATAGTTCACAGAGATTATTAAAATCGAGTTTTTCATGGCGCCTCAACTCCCATGTGAAGAGGGAAATTATGATCATAGCTTCGAATTTCAGATTTCCTAGGTCGACGTGGTCGTGAATTTGACTAGCTGGTAAACATCTTGACCTGCATCTCTGCCTTCCTCCCACATCAAACTGACGGGGGGGGGGGGGGGGGTTATAACTGAAATACAGTTTATAACGGCGTTGAATCCAACAAACTCTCACGTTTCTCACACTGATTTTACGACATGAGTGTCAACTGTTTGTATGCGGAATGAAAGAAATACATGAATTCTGAAACACGTGGTAAAATCAGAACGATACAAACACGAACCTAACACGAAAACGAATTATTCCTACACGTTGATTGTCGTGATGAAGTAGAGTCTACGGGAGCATACACCTTGTCGAGGGGATCACCCATGAAGTCAACACTATGTCTGCCTGGTGTCAACGATGATGAACTGCGTGATTTCATAATTACGCGTGTGTCTCGTAGACGTGCATAGTGTTCAAGATAAGCGTGACTGTTAAAAAGCGATTATCACGTAACTGTGTTTTGAGTATTTCCCCGCGAGAGATGCATCAATTCCACTGACTTTCGCATGACACATAAAAGAAGCGAATTCCATATAAAACACTCTTCATATTTTCAACGCACATTTGTCAGAGCCTATTTTTCTCAGTCAGTTCTGTCTTCAACAGAAACGAAGGGACACACGGGGTAGACGAAATTGTTTCCCCTTTTTTTAGTATAATGTGTTTTAATAAACATTATGTTTATCTTGTGCTATCAATATCTCGAAACAAAACAAAATTCGTCTATGATTCTTTAAATTGTGCTCAAGAATACGTATTCGTTATAGCTTCCGTGGAGGCCGCCATCTTGTTTCCCAAAACTCGCACTGGCGTCTGTTTCGGATCTGGATTCCTTATTCAAAATTCATGTCCGATTAAACAAATTTAAAGCCATGTGATTAAGGAATATATTGATATATCTCAGATATATTTCATAAACTATATCAATACGGAAATGTAGACACGCGCGCACACCCTACAGCGAACCCCACAAGTGACAAATGCAGAAAATCTAATATTTAACAATGAAGGTATAAACGTTACGGCAATCGCAAGGTGAAACGCTGATTCCAGTCAATATGATTAGGTGTAGTGAAGTAGATTGTCTCCAGTAATGAAGCTAACACTACCAACAATGATAAACTGTCACATCACAACTATTCACATATAAAGATAACATTGGTGTCGTTACGCCTAAAGCATTGTCTCTCTTACGTCAACAGTGAATCATTACTACATGGTCGCATGGTATTGACTGACGTGAATTCGTTTATGTTGAACCAACAGATAATAGTGTCAGTTCGGTCTATTGTGTCGTGTTACCATGTATGTTTGAGGACAGGAAAATCGTTGATAGGCTTGGGTGGGGGGTGGGAAGGTGATGGGTGGGGGTGTAGAGAGAAGGTGACTTTCACGACTGACATTACGTCCTTTACAATATGATGTTGTTTATCGTTCCAATCACCTGCTTGAAGGGCAAGGAAACTTCAAAGTTTATGGTCTGAAAGTTTCTTTAAAAAAACGCTCGACTCAGGAAACTAATTTATCAGGCTGCCACTATTTAAAAAAAATCTTTTTATTTAAAGTTTGTGTCTGTCCATCGTTCTATAAATTTAATATATTTCAGATATAAACAAAAAGTATGTAGATCTACCATCGGAAAAGAAGTTCCAAAAAAACCATCAAACTACGTATAATGAGTGAGTGAGTGAGTATGGTTTTACGCCGCTTTTAGCAATATTCCAGCAATATCACGGCGGGGGACACCAGAAATGGGCTTCACACATTGTACCCATGTCGGGAATCGAACCCGGGTCTTCGGCGTGACGAGCGAACGCTTTAACCACTAGGCTACCCGACAGCCCCTAAAACTACGCATAAAGAATGTATTGTCATCATATCTAAGGAAAGCAAAAAAATTACTTCTAAGACGTAGAATGACACCCGGACGAAATGGGAAACAGGTCTATCGACATAGCGTTAACTTACTTTCTCTACAGACACTATGTGTGAGGGCACAGTGTCATCTAGAAGATTTAGTAAATTTTAGTGAAATGGAGACAGCACAGCACACAGCACATGCATAATGCAATAGAAAGTAGGGAAACTTCAACAAAAATCGACCTTGCAAAGCCACTCAAAAGGTTACATACGTGCACGAAAAGTATTAAATTACATCAGCAAAATCAACTTTTTGTGGTCACGAAGAGGCTGATGAATAAAAAAACAAGCACAGCAATAAAACCGTCTAACAAAATTACCATATGATCAATGGATATCGTATTCATCATATGTAATTTGAATAGAGATGCGCGTTGTTGAGCATTTCAGGAAGAACGGAATCACTCTAAACATTATAATGAAATAGGGTAACGGGATGCAATGTAATAACTGCATCAAAAAAAATCGATAAAACGTGCCACCGAAATATGAAATATATGTGTGGGACACAATGCCTACCTAAGTCATATACATGTATATAGATTAATTTGCGGGTTTTTTTACTTTTACTTTTTTATGAACCCTGTCCGTCCCGAAATAAAGATACAGTAAACAACGTTTATAACGAACTGATGGATATAATGAACATATTTTTTGTCCCGGCGATTTGATGTATATATGCTGTACATATGCTTATAACGAACAACGGTTATATCGAACTAAAACCAGTAGTCCCTTCGAGTCGGATATAACCGTACTGAACTGTACTTTAGACACGTCCCTTTTAGCTAAAGAAATTACATCATACAGTTAGCGGACATCGGAAGCCCATAGAAATAGTCTTAAAACATTATTATCCATTGTCTTCACGTGACAAAAAAGGCCAATTAGTTTACAACTACTTTTCTACTTAAATTGCCCATTTCAAATGGATTATGGAGATTTGACAGTATCATGGTGGCTACAGAAAAAAAAATATTGACAGTGGGCGAAGTCATTGTCGCTGTCTAGAATTAACGTTGCAACTATGTGTAGACGTTCGAACCAAACATTCGTGAATGGTGCAGCAAGACCTTGGTTATATCGAATTCAAAACTATTCGAGAAATCTGAACTGTTCTTATAAATAATTGAAGACGGTTATGTTCGTTATAGCGGTAGTTCGTAACATAGTGTTTAATTGTGATTCCGTTAGCCCGTGATATGCTTTGAAAAAAGCAGAAGAAGTGTTAACCTATATGCCAGCACATCCGGATTTCACCTGTTTCTGAAGGGAGAGAACTCCTGCCCTGGCTGTGACTGTCCTCCTCACTGTAGCCCCGGCCGCTGTCAGTGCCAGTTGTCTCCCCTGAGGAGTTACTCAGAATGTCGTCCGTAATTGTCTCCCCTTTCGGACCATAACGAGACTGAAATGAAACAGTCCTTCTTTAATACAATAACTGAATAAAGTTTTTGGTAGCCAGTAATAAGAATTTAGTACAAGACTAAATTAATTTGATCTTGACCTTGTTCATTGTGTGTCATCGGTGCCACAACGGTGTGGGAGGATGCTCACAATATTAACCACTAGTTTGCAACAACCTATCCACTCCAGTCCAACTCCCACACCATATTCTTACTAAACACAAGCCTCCCGACACAGCTACACGAGAAATCTAGAGACCCCCTCATTTCCATGTTGTTTGGAATCAAAGAAACTAGACTTGGTTCAGCTTGATCTCGACTTGCATCGGCTTAAATTGTTTGATAGGAATTTCTTACAAGCAGGCGGATGACAAACTAGACAAAGGTTTATGGACAACTTCTTAATCATACTGTAATACCGACGTGTCGGTATTGTCAATCAAGGTCACTACTTTGCCTCCGCTTTCAGTAAACCAGCCGCCGAACCAGCAGAACCAGCCGCCGTGATATAGTGGAGTATTGCTGAGATGTTATACAACATTCAGACCGCCTCCGTGGTCTAGTGGTAGAGCGTCCGCCCGGAGAGCGGAAGGTCTAGGGTTCGATCCCCGGCCGCGTCATATCAAAAGACGTTTAAAGATGGTACTTGTTGTAACCCTGTCTGGCGCTCGGCATTAAGGGGCTAATACAAGGACTGGTCGGCTCGGAGTCTGAGTGGGGTATTCATGTTAAACTGAGGCATGGTATCTCAGTGAGCTAGCACTATAAATCGGCATCAGTCCGGACTAGTACAAGCAGCCACACACACACGTACATGCACGTCGCTATATCAGTGCAATAATCTTGGACGCGACGTTAAACCCCATTTCACCTCACCTCCTCACCTGTTATACAACATTCACTAATTGGTTACACGACTTTCTATTAATCTTGCCTTACCGAGAGATGCTGACTCGGCCCTTTCTTTGAGCCTCTGATGAGAGCCTGTTGATATTTAAGTGCAGCCAATCGCGTCATCTGTTGGTCGGTGACGTCATACTTGTCTGAGATCACGTGCGATTCTTGAACAGGGTGCTGATCTAATTTGGATGAGGATTCTATTTCCTGAAAGAGAGTAAAAACTTTCAAAATGTCTGTAAAATAAAAAAGTTTCTTGAATATATTCTCCAGGAAAGAGTTATTCCCCCTGAAACTTTCAAAACAACACAGAACACATATGTCAACCTACAATAAGCCATTTAACTTAACTGTCTGTGCTGTAAGGTACTGTTCCGTCATTTTAGAACGCAAAAACAACGCGTAAGGCGTACATTTCATCAATATCGTTCTCGTAATTACCCTTCAAACTTCAGATGTTTCAAAAATGTCAAAGTTTAGGAAACAAACTGGCAGTATATTATGTCGTCCTCGAGTTAATTATTCGATCCCCGGCACCGCTAGTTTCTCTCTATAATAGCAGTGACGCTGACTACCGCCTAGACGTGTAGTAACACTATCTTTAATTGATATTATCAACCTCGTGAATGACGGGAAATCGATAATCTACCCATTAATCATGTCACGAGCGATCCGGTCTGCGTATGATGCGGAATGAGGGGATACCCGGGGGTATTGGATCACAGATTACAACTGAATAATTACTCATTATCAAATAATATCAACACATCAAACCATGCATAAAATATTATCCCCAACTTCGATGATTATATTAACAAATATGTCTGGTATTGTGTTTTTAAAACTGCAAAACTATTGTTGCGTTTCTAACGACATCGTGTGCGTCACTGTATGTTTTTCAACGGAAATGGGTTGGGTTTTTTTTATAACTTTTTAATAATTTTGATTTTCATAAACGTGACACTGGCTTCTATTTGAGACTGTACGACCAGCCACGACAAAGTGTGTCTCACAGTTTGGTATTTAACAAAATCGGGTTGTTGTTTTTGTCAACGTGACACTGGCTTCTATTTGAATCAATCCAACCTAATCACGACATGCTTTAAATAATGTAGTATTTTAAAAACTTTAACCTCGTAATGTGGACATATTTCACCGAGTAAATGTGTTCAAGAACACTACTAAAAGTTGAGGTCAATATGAGAAGCTTATGCTCTCTCTCTCTCTCTCTCTCTCTCTCTCTCTCTCTCTCTCTCTCTCTCTCTCTCATTTGGATCATAATATATCTATCTCCTTGAACAGGAGTTTCAACCTGCCTCACCCATTTGAAATAATCTCCCTCTGCAATCTGAAACACCCAAACAACCCGCATCACACCCTCCAGCTATAACAACACGACACAAGCAACGCGGGAATTCCACTGTCAACTCCCTCTCCGACATGTTGCAAGACGACCTGTTTGATTGACGTGCGTACATTACACTAACTGTTATCTACCTCTCTGGTACATAAACTCCATGTAAATAACCCGATATGGGGGATTATTAAAGAGTGGATGCTATAAACTCGACATACTTCCAAGTACCGCGTTATCAAAACTACCGGCGTCAGTCGATGTAATCCTCACGTAAACATCCGAGTTTACTCGAGCTACATATTAAAGAGATCGGAATACACTCGAGGATCAATTAAGAACCTCGGTTTGTTCTTCCGTTTCAAAATGACGTCATCATGCCTGGGTGTTATGAAGATAGCGGATCGGTGATGTCTCAGATCTTAATAGTGTTGTTGCACTTATTTTGTTGAAGATAATCACTTGAGTGAGTATTGTTTTAACGCCGCTTTTAGCAATATTCCAGCAATATCACGGCGGGGGACACCAGAAATGGGCTTCACACTTTGTACCCATGTCGGGAATCGAACCCGGGTCTTCGGCGTGACGAGCGAACGCTTTAACCACTAGGCTACCCGACCGCCCCTGAAGATCATCAAGATGAAGCTGGCTGATGCTCAGAAGCTAGTAATGACTCACAACAAGCATGAAGCAATGTTTTACGACTTTGAGTCAGAGATGAAAGCGCTCAGATCCGAAAAACATACAGCATCATATAACAAATGTTAAAATGTAATTTTACTGCTGTAATTGCATGTCATTGTGACAGTGGCTTCTGCAGAAATAAATAGCCCAGCTTCAAGACACGGTCGTTAATTCGTTTGTTTGAAAATAACAATACGTCATATTAATGTAACCGGCAAAGAGAAGTCCATACCGCGAGATTAATTTCCGCTTCTTCAAATATGATTCAGCGTAACAGCGTTTGATTGATGAAATGCTTGTTAAAAATGTTGTAATGTTAAAGGTTAGAAGTTTGGAAAATTTAATTTATATCGACGTTGTTTTGTAAAGCAATCATTGTCGTACTTACGAAGTAACGATAAAGATACGCCATAACCCCGACACTGTTTATGCGTCACGAACCGCATCAACTTGATACACAGCTAATCAAGCGAATTTTCCGCAAACCTAATGCCAAACCTAACGGTAATTGCTGATAAACGAGTGTGAATAAACATCGTAAGATCAACAGTTTTATCTGTTTATGAAATATACATCCCCAAACAGCTAGGAATCGATTTAAAAGAAGAAAAACCATTTGACAAAACTGGCTATTATTCCGAAGAGAATTGATACATTATTTCAGGGCGGGCTGTTTCACATCTGTTCCGACACCAGTGTCGATTTTTACGCAGGTTAGAACGAGTTCTTGTAAATATTTCACTAACTTAATGATTAATGAGAGAAATACAGCGCCCCGGACGAAGATTGTAACGCAGGCTCGAGCCCTCAAGAAGAGTGTTAGTTTTCCTGCAGTAAATGTTATTTGTCAGCGAGTTAAATGTTATTTTACATGTGTTCACCTCAATTATATATTTTTTCTCTATAAACACAAATCCTGATGGAATCATCCAGACCTGTATTCACGACGGTTAAACAAAGACCGAACAAAACAGCTAAAGAATTTATTATGTTTAATTTAATGAATAAAAAGATGCTTGCAGACATTTAGAATTTTATCACTGTCTTATCTTAACGAAATGTCAGCTTAAAAAGTTGAAATGCTAATGTAGGTGTTTTCTGTACGTATTTGAATCGAAATACACAGGAACTGGTTGTCAAGACGTTCTTGAAGTAGAACTACATGAATAAAGGCAGTCAAGATACAAGGCAAATGCTCCCAAATATCTCAACACGAGATTGCTTTGATCTTTAACTAAATTCTTCTCTCTTGAATTAACCAACAATCATAATCTTAACATTAAAATGATAAGATAACAAACTCGTCACCTATTATACACAAGAATCGACTGATCATGAACTGAAACCCCCCCTCCCCTCCCCTAACACAATAATAATTTAATCCAAATCAAATCTCTTCCGACTTAATACAAGGATGAGATCCCTCTAAATTCGAAAACGTGAACTTGAATGATAACCCAGAGCCTACCGGCGTTAGACCCAACTCACTCACTCACTCACTCACTCACTCTGCCAGACATCTTTGGGCGTGGCCAGTGCCACTCCAGGCATGTGTTTGAACACAAACACACGGATCAAACTCAACATACCTCGGCAAGCTCCGGTTTAACTAGCGTGGTATCCAGTCTACTGACATATGCATACCATTCTAATTGCGGTCGGCATTCCGACGATCAAGTCAGTTGAAAGATTCAGATAAGGGAAAGCAGTGTTTACTAGAATAAGTGATGCTCACGGTGTTCTCTGGCGATGTTCCACCCGGAGGCAACAGTGAGTGTTCCCGTGGGGGCCCAGGTTTAGAATGGGCCCCAACCTTTGTCGTATGAGCAGATGACCTTTAAGGCTCCCCTGAGGCATAAGAGGTTGCTCATAATATCAGTCACTGGTTTGTCTTGTCCAGACTCGATTAACTAAAGGCCGGCGTAATATAGTTGGAATATTGCCGTCCAATCAAATTGCATTTGTTTGCGAGAGAAGTTCTGTGGGAAGTTACTGATAAGTGGGATTGCGATAGTGACGACACTTCCGGAATGAAGCTATGATGGCAAATTGATCCAGGGTATTCATCATAATAAAATGAAGATAAAAACACATTGATCGAGAACGAAGTCTCTACTGCCCATGTCCGCTAGCATGACATAGTAGATGCAGCATATGACTGGGTTCATTGTGTGTCATCGCACTCAGTTACCATGGGTCGTTGCTCACGCTAATCACCAGTCTACCTAGGCCCAGACTGGAGTTTGTGCAGATGCGGATGTGCAAACTAATGCGGACAGTGGCACAAAACAACACTCACTCTCACATAGACACATTCGCAGGTCTGATTTTCCCACCGCCTTCTCAATCACAATACCTCAAATAATAACAAGTAAAACAAAAAAACTTCCCTCGAATACCTAAAACTAAAAAGTCCCTTTCGTGCTAAGACACCATTCGAGTGTGGTCGCACACGCTGTACACCGACCAACAAGTCACGTGACATATCACCACTGCCATAAGGTAGTTTGCATAACACGTGACCGGACTAATTTCGTGTTAAACAAAAGCGCCTTTACTGAAACCGGAGGAGTCGGTAAAAACTAACATATTTCAATCAGATTTAGTGACTGATTTACATAATAATGGAGATATCGTCCCAGAACAGAATTAGACTATTCTACCAGCAATGTGACCACGCCGACTTTTATACTCCTTGACTCGATATCTGCACGTGGAACCACATAACCACCTTAAAATATGGATAAATGCGCAACTTGAAAATAGTGTTACAAGTGTTATGATATTTTCGCGACGTAATCAATCATCTCTTGACAAATATGCATCTTAATGTGAAGAAGTTTCACTTACATGAATAATGAACATATTCCACCGGGTAATAGACATGATAGATTGAGCAGCACGTGATAGTTCCCCACATCAGGCTTGGCTGTGACAGAGGCACATGGGGACGGGACGCTGGTTAGTTGAGTGCCCATGTGCTATTCACCAGTTCTGATATTCCAAGCTCGTCACGGATCCCACTGCGGTCGCGTTTTACGATAAGCACGAGACACAGGGGCCCAGTGCTACTCCTCGAATCCCCATACGGGATTATGAAATCATATTGAGGATATAATGGAAACTGATCGTCTGTGAGCGGTTGATGCAATAGAATATGCATGTTTCT